GGGGGAAGGGGAGTCGGATTCCTGGTCAAGGAACACTTGTTTGACGTGGTGGAAGTAGTGGTGAAAACGGAGTTCGAGGAAAGCCTCTGGCTAAAGATACCTGGGGAGCGGGGTGAGAAAGACTTGTTTCTAGGGAACGTATACGTCCCACCGTCGTCGAAGAAAGTCGCAAGCAAGGCGCAGGAGAACTTTGGACAAATTGGGGAAGATGTCCAGAGGTTCAGTAGGAAGGGAGAAGTTGTCATGGTGGGCGATTTCAACTCCAGAGTAGGGAAAGCTTCCAGTAGAGGACAGGCGATCGGGCAGCACGGAGAAGACAAAGTGAATGACAACGGAGTGAGGATGCTTGAATTCTTGGGAAGCAACGAACTGATGGTGTTGAACGGTAGGAGGGAATGCGATAAGCCGGAGTTCACCAGGCAACGGGCAGTTTGCAATGAATACTCGATCCTCGACTACATCCTGGTAGATAGGGGGAGCACGCAAATCCCAGAGCTGCACATAAGTGCGATAGATATAGGTTCGACCGACCACTTCCTCATATGGGCAAACATCGACCGATCTAGAAAGATCAAGAGTAAGAAACAGAGGAAAGTGTTCCGGTGGAAGGTAGAGCGTTTGGGAGACGATGGGACACGGGATGAATTCCAGAAGGGGCTGGCTGGTAGTGTAGAATCCTTCAGGAAACTGCTGAGAAGCGTCGAAGACGGACAGGTAGACGTACATGCAGCAAGGGACAGGGTGATTGAAGGGTGGGAGTCCATCGTGAACGCAACGGCAGAGAGAGTAGTGGGAACGAAGGTGGTACGATGTGGGGTATCGGTTAAGTGGTGGGATGACGAGCTGAAAGAAGAAATAGGGGAACGTAGAGAAGTCTTCAAGCAGTACCTGAGTGAGGCGTCTGAGGAGAGTTGGGAAAAGTACAGGGCCAAGAGAAAACAGGTGAAGGGACTAGTGAAAAAGAAGAAAAAGTGTATTTGGGACGAAGTAGTGCAGAAGGCCAACGGAGGCCTGGAGGGAAACGTCAAGCAGATGTGGGAAGGGATTAGTGGAATGGTAAAAAAGACCGCGCAAGGGGGGGATACAGGGGTCGCAACTTTGCGAGGTGTGAACGGTGGATTAGTCAGCAGTGGGAAGGGAAAAAGGGAAGTTCTAGCAGGACACTACAAGAGACTTGGACAAGAGACTTGGAATGAAGCTTTTGACCAAGTGCTTAAGAAGGAGGTGGACGCATGGGTCCAGAAAGTAGAAGAGACATCGAAGGCAGACGTTGGGAACGTAGAACTAGAAAAGGAGTTCACTGAGGACGAGGTTGAGGCGTGTGTGAACAAGCTGCAGTGCCACAAAGCA